ATCATCATCATCATCATAATATATCCATTCTAAGAATCACACTTTGATTTTGGTGAATTCATGAATTGTCAATAAAGACATAAATCATGCATCATTTCAATAAATATATGCTACTTAGTTGCACGAAATGAATTTAGCAACATCGTAATAGATTGAAGCTTATAAATAAAGCTGTTAGCTTAGCTTATTTTCATACAGCTTACACTTTCTTCCCTTACGAGAGGATAAACTATTAAAGTAAACATGTATTCAATTTATCGATAAATCATAAAATGAGTTCAAAACAAAATTCAAGCATGCATTAGTGAACTTTTTGACAGAAATTTCACAACAATATGATAGATAATTTATTTAGTCATGTAAAAAAACAAGCTGAATGAAATATGTGAATTAAAAAAGGGCAAAAGAAAGAGAAAAAGACAAAAAAATGAATAAATGAATACATTAAAAAATTTGTGCTAAAAATACCCTCTTCACATCTCTTCCCTCCATCAAGAAAAAAAAAAGAAAAAATCATCTTTTCCGGAAATTCTCAGAGAAAAATGAGCCCAAATATAAATGTATGAAAATATTTAAAAATTAATTTATGCTTATATTTTTAAATATGAAAAAAAAAATAAAAATAGCAAAAAAAAATTACCATCTGGTTTCCTTCGTCGTTTCACATTGTTAATATAAGCATTATTGGTATCACTAAGATGATTGGTTATCATGTGATAATTTGATGCAACTACCTTCTCAAATGATACCGAATTATCATGTTGCAACAATGAGGATGACGCTGAACGACATGTACTCAACGGCGATGTTTCCAATTCCGTAATCGATTGTTCCGTACATAAACCGGAATTACGATCTTCCATTGTGATTTCTTTCGATGAAATTGTTGTTGAATTTGGATGTAAATTTGTTGCAGTTGCTGCTGCATGATGTTGTAATTTCGTCATTGCTGCAAATATGAAATGTGGCGTTGCTGTCATTCCTAAAAAGAAAACAAAAAGAAAAAAAAAAAGAAAAAAGAAAAAAAAGATAAAAAGGAAAAAAAAAGAAAGAAAGAAAAATATTGCTATCATATCATTCAAATCTTTTCTCATATTGCAAAAAATCATTTGGTGTTACATTTTGAAATGTGAGGAATGGAGAAATTAATATAAATTGTAACACTTCGATACCTACATCGTGAATTATTAAACATAACATGTAATTTAACATTGAATCAATGAAGCTACCAATGATATTTGCCATTGTGAATTTATTGAACACAAATTTTAATATTTAATAATAAATATTTAATATGTATAAGTTTTTTTTTGTAGTCATAACATGCATAAATATGTAATTTAATGTGGATCGTATATCCATTTCCAATTATGAATTTGTTGACGTAAATCACAAATGCGTAACATGAAACCTAACAAATTATGAATTATCAAACGTAAATTTTAAGCATGTAACGTATATCCTAACAAATTATGAATTGCTGTCGTAAATCATAAACGTGTAACATATATCCTAACAAATTATGAATTA